CTCTTAGCCGCTCTGTCATCACATACAATACAGGATCAGCAGTCCTTCATTGTAAGTGAGGATGCTGAGTGAAGAGAAAAGAGGAGAGCGTTGGCTGCTGGGTTAGTGTGGGATAAGGGAAGTATTGCCTCTTTTTAATGGTACCCTAGACAAAAATGAGCATTTACCCCTTTCAGTGCAGGGCGGTCCCCCCTACAAGGTTAACTTTTTCTATGAAGTTCAAATTTAAGGTTTGACTAGAAAGTGGATCCTGGACACTTCTAATCCATACCTATGCAACCCACTAGGCTCATAGGTGGACAGTCCTGGCTGCACCTATGGCAGATTTATTGCTGTTAATCTGTCTCCAGGCCTTTACCTCCAAAGTACCATGGAAACCCCAAATGTTCCAACCAGAGCTTAGAAGGTTGAGCTGTATCCCACCCTGTACAACCCCCCGTACTTCCCCATTGACCTATATAGGAGATGAGCAAATGCTCAACCTCAACCTAGAATTTGCATAATAATATGGAAATTAGTCACAACAGAGTGAGACCTTAATTGTGAACATGTAAGAGAAACAGTAAATTCACACTAATGCAGGGAACTTTTGGCACTGGAGCCTCTGGGAGGTATCAGAAGCTGGAAGTTACTTCAACCCATCAGTGCTTATCTGTAAGTAGTTTTGGATTTAGGCTGGTATTTAAAGCAAATCTATAAGTAACTTTAGAGGTCTGTATGAATCCATTCCTAACATGCTGCAATATATGGCAATTGTACTGCATATTTTACTCAAAAAGACTTATCATTAGAAAGTAGCCATTAAACTTCAGTCAAGTGACTGTGCCTAGGTTTGAGAGGAGCATTTTCAGATAATATTTTAATTAGTCTGCTGCAGATAGGAAAATAATTTCCTTAGTCCCCCCAGTGATCATGCACAGGGACTATTATGATACTGTATTTTTGTTACAGTCACAAGGCAACAGTTTGATCTGTGTGGTGCACCATGTTCATTAATTTATGAGCTAGTTGTAATATGTAAGGGGGCTGCCACATTACTCTGGAAGTAAACTATTGATGTGAGATGAAAGGGGGGGGTTTGCGTGTGTGGTTGTGGTGCAGGTCCGGGGGGTGGTGGGGAAGCTGGTGGTACAGGCAACCAACGACATCAGTAAGCTAGGCAGGACATTGGCCAGAGCATCACAGGTTGCTAAGAGCAACCTGCGCGCGCCGCCCCCCCACCCAATGAGATCATTATAGGGACGACCCTGGTGGTACATTAATATAAATACTTGGAGAGAGTAACAGCAGTAAAGTTGCCACATGAGCATTTAGGGCCATCCAAAAAGTAAATGCTGACCTTGGAAGATGCCTAAATAAAGAGGATGCCAGCCTTCTAGAGAGAAAGGACGATAAAGGCATTGTCAGAGTAAGGTTATGTCTGTAAGAAGTACACATTAGCTACTATTAGGGTCCTACCATAAAATACATTACATTGTGGACTGGGATGCCTTGAGATTTTGCATCTTGTACAGGGTTCCGTGACAGGGAATGCTGATTTAATCTACATGCATACACAATTACAGTTGCAAACACACAGTGTGCTACACATATGTGTCCTGCAAGCATAGAGGATGTGTCTATATGTTACTCAGGCACTGAAGAGAGGCTTTCAAAGAAACCTTTGCAACTGGTTTTGATTTCACGCAAAGGCTGGAGACGAGCCAGTGAGGCTCTTAAGGGAGTTTGTAATCACACTGTTATTGGCTTTTTTCAGAACTGTTTTTAATTTTACCAAGCCCTAGACAGTCAAGGCAAAAGCCTGGTAATGAAATATACTATATCAGATGGTGTTTCTCATATTTTTTTTAACAAAGTGACCAAAAAGTGATGTAGCAAGTTTTATCCAAACAATTAAATGGAACAAGTCATGTAAGTTAGTAAACGTAGAGCCTTTCCTTTGTTCCAACACAGAGCATGGATAATTTAAAGCCACACTGGCTCTAGGCTCAGGAAATGAGTCAGTCACATTCCCTGGAGTTGGCCCCCTGCAGGCTTCGTTAATGGAGTGCTACTTTATTAATTATGACAAACTAATGCTCCCCTGCACTCTAGCTTTTATTCTGTAAGCTTTTAATTTTTTTCTAGAGTTTTGTTATCTTGGTTGGATCACTAGTAAGTGATTATGATTGGAGCCTTAAAATTCTCCCAAAGTTTATCAGTATAAAAACTGTTTTTACAAGGCTAAGTCTATGTAATTTGCAAATCCCAACAGTGCAATATGCATATGCCACAAAAGATAGTAATTATCTCAAAGCAATTTTGCTATTGCCAGTATTCAGTGACCATCTTCTGCCATAAAGCTAAAGCATAAAGATTCAAATTGCGTTTAGCTTTCCACAAACCTGTAATGAATACTAATAATGGTAATAAATACCTGCAAATGCCATATAAAATTGTTGCTTCCTGTGGTGACATATTAGTAGCCAGGCTGTGCAGCATGTTGCCCTGGCTATAATTACTACAAAGCATTTGTAGGTTAATACCTATGGCATCAGGGTTATAGTGGATATGACCAGGGAACACAGTTAAAAGGAAAACTATGAGGTGAGTGATTTTCACTCAACCTCATAGTTCGAGCCGACATGTGGCAATGAAACTGTCACATATCGGCTCTATAGATCGGGAAGTTAGCGAACACATACCGTCCCTCACTCACTTTCCGATTATCTCCCTGTAGAGAGCGGTGACTGTCAGTCACCGCTCCCCACAGGGATTCCCCGCTCCGATCTTCCAGCGCTGAATGAGGGAACGGACAGGGGAGGGGGCGGGCACAGCTGGCTTTGCCTCTAGATAGGCAAAGCCCGCTGTCACTCCCGCAGCTGGGTGGATCTCAACAGCATTGTCGTGATCTGTCCCGGCTGTGGCGCTCTCAGTATATAGCAACCTGCAGCTCTCAGTATATTATTCAAAATTCACAACAAAGACACTAAAATTATTACTCTTCTCCTGTGATTTTCTCAGGCAGCTGGGACTTGGCATCCTGTCAGGTTTTGAATGTAAACAAAGAGCAGGTGCTGTTAGCTGTTATGAATGACTAAAACTAATTTCAGAGTCTCTGTTGTGACATTTGAGGGTGGATTACTCCACAGTGCCTGCAGTTATAAGGATCAGACAGGACTTAAAGCTATTTTTAGGTAAATTATTCAAAGCAGAACTCCAGGTAAAAAATGAATTCACCCTTTCAGCGGGGCTTTCCTTGTACTGCACGGGTTAAGTGCGCCTTTTGCCTATGGTCAAAAATAAAAAATTTATACTCACCTGATCCTCCAAGCGGGCTTTCTCCTAGACCAGTCCCCGGAGCCTCATCTTCATCCTCTGTAGCAGTCTATTGTACCTGAGTCATCACATTCTATACACAGTGTAAAGCGCATGAGGACGCTGAGGGACATATCATTGCTGCAGTGGAGGAGGAAAAAGGCAGGAAGGTGCGCTGTAACAGCCAGTTGGCTCGGAGGATCCAGTGATTGTAACTTTTTTTATCCTAGACAAAACTGAGCACTTAACCCATACAGTAGCCCCACTGCAAGAGTTAATAAACATTTTTACCTGGAGTTGTTAATTAACATTCATATTTTGGCAACAAAATAGCTGAAAGTGACTAGTTTACATGGGAGACTTTTGGTTTTGCCTTTGGTGATAAAAATTACACTTAATAATTGCTGAGAAAAATGTAGAGCCAGCAAAAAAAATTAAATTCTTGCTAATGCGCATTGCTTTCTAAGGTTGGTTGAATGTAAAAAAAAAAAAAAAAACAGGGGTGCACCGATAACGATACTAGTATCGATATCAGTGCCGATACCGAGTATTCGTACTCACCCAAGCGTACTCGTACAAGCTCGCCATTTGGGCGAGCTCGTACTCGCCCAAATGCTCCGATGCCAAACACAAGTACTTCCTGTATCAGGAAACCGGGCAGCGTGATTAGCCGGGAAGCAGCTCCATGCTCTCTCGTCACTTGTGCCGGGCAGCGTGCAATGAAGCACTGCCCGGGTCCCCATTGGTCGGGAAACTGGCCAATCAGGAAGCCGAGCGCCGTGTAATGATGCAGCGCCCGGGATTCTGATTGGCCGGGATGCCGGCTTCATACTCCCTCGTCATCTCATGACGAGGGAGCATGGAGCCGGCCTCCCGGCCAATCAGAAAGCAGGGCGCCGCGTCATTACACGGCGCCCGGCTTCCATAATTGGCCAGCAAGACGGTTGGAGAGGCCCCGGGGGTGACAGGCTGGACATGCCAAGGTGAGAGGGTAAAGGCTGGGAAGGCTTTCTTCTTAATCGGGAAGCCAGGTGGCGAGTCATTACACGCCACCTGGCTTCCTGAATGGGACTTCCGTTACTCGGTAATTGGTATCGGCGAGTACCGAAAAAAATTATCGGTACTCGGTACCAAAATACCGGTATCGGTGCATCCCTAAAAAAAACGTATAACATTAAACACTTGGGTGGATGTGTTGACTGTAGAGATTAATCTCACATATACTTATCTATATGATCCGCGCTACCTGCTATTATCTAAAAATAATTCAGCCGCTGTGCAAAAAATGGTAGTTCCTTTTTCAAAAAAGAGTTCGTCTCACATGTTTATATTTCGTTTGTGAAAATACAGTTACATTTCACCATTTTACATTTCCGCACATAAAATATGATTTGATATTGGGCTGATGCTTGTCTCTTGCACAAAGTAAAACAGAAGCTTTGGTTACAAATGTCTATGTCCACATTTCTAGCCACACTGTAAATGTATCATATATCATAATAATAAATCCTTACATAAAAAACAGTTGTATTTAGCTACAATTTTCCTAGATACAAGCAAGAATGAGAGAGAAAACAGCATTGATTTGCCAGGCATGTATTTGTTCTTGGCAGTTTGAGCAGATAGTCGAACAGTGGCCAGTTCCGAAGTAATAGTTATACTTCTGAGATTCTGAGAACGCAATACATGTACTAATATCATAGCATTTGTTTGTTCTCTTCTTTTTCCAGGTTGTGACACGGCAATACTGTTTCCAATGAGATCACCAAAAATTTACGCAAGCGTGCACCCAGCAGATATGTCCCTCCGGGCCTTTACGTTTTGTGTGTGGACTAAAGTGACAGAAGCTTTGGAAAAAACTATCGTCATATCCTATGGCACCAAACGCAACCCTTATGAAATCCAGTTGTATTTCAACCGAGATTCCCCTGTCCTGGTTGTGGGTGGCGATGAGAACAAGATAACTGCAAACAATACACTCGTACTAGGAGAGTGGTCACATGTGTGTGGTACATGGAAATCTGAAGATGGCGAAACAACATTATGGGTCAATGGAGAAAAGAGAATGGTCACTTATGAAGTGGCTCAGGGTCACCTCATCCCTGGCAGGGGCATATTACAGCTTGGTCAAGAGAAAAATGGCTGCTGTGTTGGAGGAGGTTTTGATGAATCATTATCATTTTCTGGAAAGATCACAGCCTTTAACCTGTGGGATGCTGTCCTCAGTGACAAAGCCATTTTAAACACCACAGGAGAATCTGGCTGTAAAATGCGGGGGAATGTTGTTGGATGGGGCACAACAGAAATTCAACCGCATGGGGGAGCTCAGTATATTGATTAGCACTGCTAGCTAAAAAAAACACATGCTAAGATATAAATTAAAGGTGAATTCCAATGAAAACTTTTATGTAAAGAGGAAGATAAGAGTAAGAACTGATAGTAATGAAAGTCCCATCTGGTAAAGTTCCTGTCTCTAACACACTGAGGATGATTCAATAGAAATGCAGTAAAGAAAATGAGAAGACAATTGTAGGTTTTGCCAATAGCAACCAATTGCATTTACCTTAAATGTATGAACAAAACAACAAGCATGTGAATCAGTTACTATAGGCAACAACTCCACATGTGTTCTCATTTGCCTTTCTCCAGTTTTAAGGTATTAGTCCCTTTTTTTTTTTTAGCATCTTCACACTACTGACCTACACTTAAAAAAAAGTCTAAAAGTAGCCCCAATCTGGACAATTATGAGCAGAGAGAGATCGTTTTAGACTAAGAGGTGGTTTTATGGTCATTAGTGTGTAGGAAACCACAAACTCCTAACGCCATCAGCTCAGCAATTAAACCGTCAGACTATAAGATGTGACTATATGAAATTTATATTTGTGTATAAAAGTCTCTGCTCTGCAATTAAATCTGCGGCCTCCCACAAGGTATGGGGCCCATATCATCTCAAGAGGGAGAATTTTCAGGCTGCCTGGTCTGCATATAGCCAGTTTATGTAAGATATTCAGACATATACAGTAGGATGCACTGCAAATGGCAGGCCATAGAAAAATCTAGGACTGGACATATGAACACTGGATTAAGGGACCACAATCATGGAGGAAAGTCAGATCAGCACCTTTTAAAGCTTTGCAACATCTTAATCATGCTACTATGCAACCAAATATCATACGCATCCCCAGTGACCCACTGTGGTTAAAAAACAGGTTAGTATAAATACACAGGTTGCAGGGACCTGCAATTTATTCAAACACTCACTGCTACTGACTATCACAAGTCAGTGCAATCCATATACTAAAACATATTAACCTGAGCTGGTTATAAAACTTCCATCATTCACATGGGTTAAGATTATTTGCATCTACTTAGCAACAAGATAAAGAATCCGATAGGTTCTTTACTCCTCCCTTCCCCTCCACGTAACACTTCAAGCTGGAGTTCTCCTTTAATAGCTCCCTAAATATGGAAACAAAAATGCTTGTCTCAATTAAAAAGAAAGTTCTAGGAACTGCAATGAAGTCATATCAAGGTGTTCTATCTAAACATCAATGCAAAACTCAAAAAGCCTTTCTATTTAAGTATGTTTACTCCTGTATAGGATATAATGGCAATCTAATTTATGGAAAATCTTCAACAAAATGCCATAGACAAGCATATCCTTTTTTTTTTTTCTACTGTACTGGTACAGAAATAATCCATTCAGGGGCAGCAGCAAGCTAATAAATCTGTCTGATCAGATTTGCCCTGCCCCAAATATTTTATTTAAATGTGAATTGCAAAAATGCAACAATGACTCCAGTAGACTTCATAAAACTAACTATAGCCACTTGTTTTAATCAATCATTATATTTGTAATTATGTCATACTGTACTATATTGTAAATTAAACTTGTAAGAACGCCATAAAATAAAAATTCTACTGTATTTTTGTACAATTGTACCATAGGATTTAAAGAATGCTAAAGCTTTTTCACACTGTTACAGTTCTGAATTCTGTGGAATGAAAATATAAAAAAACACAAATGTCACAATTCAGTTTACTTTTTTCTTTTTCCTGCAACAATAATATATTTTGCAACAATCATGATTTGATTTTACAGTATTATATTAAAAATACATTATTGGAATATTCTTACTGTGGGATAATAAACACTGTATTTCAGAAAATGATATTTTAAAACACAAAATGTAAACTATTTTTTATTGTTTTCACTTATGTAACAGCATCTTTTGATCTCTAGACGATGTTGTATTCTAAGCATTTTGTTGTTCCAAAAGCTTTTTCTATAAAATAAATTAAAATGATGTTCTTTGGCTGTATGTTGATTTGTTCAGCACATATCTGAAAGCATATTATGTTGTAGTACTATTTCAATAAGGTCTCTGAGTTTTCTCTACTGTATAAGAAAAAAATTGTATCACTATGAAGAGTATGACCTTCTCCAATGACAAACCAATGTTATAATCTAATCAATGTCCCTAGATTTATACATATAATAACATGTGGTTGAGGTTGCAGTTTATTTTTTACTGAACTTATTCCTGTGCCACATGTGTGTTGATTATCTTTCTCCAGGTCCCAGATTGTTTCTGTAATTTAAAAGGTCAGGTCCCGCAAAATATATAAGCAGGTCTATAAAGCAAGCAATGCTTCTGTTGCATGTGATTATTAGGCATTTAAAAGGTGACGTTTACCTTTTATACCATGTTTCATATTACACTCATATTCATGGTATAACTTGAAACATGGATATATTGTCACCAACCACACACACACACACACATCCCGGCCCTCTAATTACCTGAAACGTGGGTTCTTCTTCCTGTAGGCTTGGGCTGTTTTTTTTAATCTGGTGTGGCTGTGCATGGCTCTGCATCATCCATTAACAGGTCCTTTGGCAGGATCGGTGAATGGATAAAGGCCACTGAACTTGTAGTCCATTGACAGTTCCTCCTTCTCCTTGGTACTAAATGTCCACACCCTTGGTACATGCAGGGGCTGGAACAGTCTGCAGGAGCCAGAGCATTGCACCTGTGAGCCACTGATTGTGGTTGCAATGCTTTAATGACTCAAATGCACACAAAAATGAATGCAAGTTTTTTTTCTTTTATGAAAATGTGTGCATTAGTTTTAAGGTGGAATTTAGCTTTAAAGTACTACTATAGGCTTGGCGTTGTTTCCCTAAATGCATTCTGTGCAGGCAAAAAAATGCCCAGTACCTTTCTATAACCCCGTCCCCCCCACACTTACCCATGGTCACTTGTCTCCTTCGCCAGGGCTAGGAAGAAACTCAGCTTTCCCCCGAACTTCCTGGTCCTTTGGGAGGGTACTGAGAGCAGAGGAGCAATAGACTTCTTCTGCTGTCTAACTCTGACTGTGAGAGGAGGGGCATGGCTTACCACACGCTGTAGGTCTATGGATGCACACAGCTTGGTGCGGGAACAGCCATAAATGCACACGAACATGTGTCTCCTCAGCAGCCAGCTAGCTGATAGACACACCCGCACACAGGGTGGGGCTGGGGAGGTAGCAGGTTTGGGGACAACTAGAGAATGAGGGAAGGAAAAAGTTAAAAGAAAAAAAATAGTGAATTCAGGTAAGTCTGATAATAATCCTCCTTATAATAATAAAAAAGAAATAAAGGTTTAATATTACTTTAATTCTCTTTTAAATGGGCCCCTTATCCACAGCAGTATATACTGTACTAACCTTCACTTCGCTACCCAGACACTCCTGTGATACCTCCTGATATGGAGGAGCATGTGACTCAATTCATGTAACAGTGCTGGGCCAATCAGCGCTTTCACACAGGAGATCCATGCCGTGTGTGAGCTACGACTTATTTTGATTATTTACACAGGACTTTCTTTTACTGCTGCAGGGTGAATGGAGTGGCAGGGGAGTAAAAGGAAGGTGACTGGATCAAATGGTATGAGAACAGGCAGATACAGTATCTTCCAGTTTGTCATTTTTGGGGCGATTAGTGCCCTTCTATGGCCAGCTTAAGTTACCCAGATAAACAATATCAATGATTCAAGTCCTTTTAATCTTTGGAAACCTTGGATAAAAGCTTAGCAACAGTAGCCTGGGCCCAAAGCTACAATAAACACATGAATAGTATTCATTTTAGACCAACGTTCAAGAGGAAAAATATTAAGTAGGACTACATCTCACATGTATAAAACAAAATCTGCCATTACTAGAACATATAACATAAATATATTACATTTTATAGGGTGGGTGAAACTATGTCCTCATAAGAATCATAAAGGTCATGGGGCAGAACATTCATTGTGATCGGGAGAAACATTACTGTAATCAAGACTTGTGTATATATAACAGTATATTAGAAAAAGAAAGTAAATACTGTATTCTCTATCCTATCACGGTAATTGTTTCTCTGAATATAAAGTAGCACACTGGAATCAAGCTGTTATGTCTGTTAGGTCCTACAGGATAGTAGCAATAAAGCAGAACCATTACCTTGCTAGTTAGTTATACCTGTTTTAATTGCAAAATGTCTAGAAAAAATGTGCAAGTGTCCTCCCAATGACTGCATGTGCAGATATAGCTGCAGGATCCTGGAAGCCCTGTGACCTCTGCTTTGATTTGTTCATAGCTGCCTAGATTAGATCATGGACTTTCCTCCATTTCCCGCTGTGCACATCAGAACCCTCAGCTCTCTGCGATAGGGGAAGTGCGTAGTGCTGCATAGATCAGTGTAGAGCCTCCCAGTCCACCTTGCATCTTCCCTTTTGTTTTGTCACTTTCTTCTGCTCTCAGTTCTTCTCACTACTTGAAGAAAAAAGAGGCTTGGAAGGACTAGGCAAGATGGTAGTTAGCAGTTTAAGCAATATAGGGTAAAATGCACAGCCAAATTAAGTGCTTAGTGTTTGGGAGGTAGAACCAATACTTTTCATACTTAAATGGATTTTGTTTTCAACATAATATAGTTCTGCTTTGAAGCTTAACTCTGAAAAAAGTAAATTTTGTCGAAATTCAAGAGCTGTATGTATTCTTACTTGAATCTCAGCGTACTTTGCATATTTCTTCCAGATCAATGAAATTGTGCCTCTGTGCCAGAGCTTCCTGTATAAAGACTGGTTGCTGCTGCTCTCTCTCATTGTGCAGGGTGACTGGTCTTGTCACTGCCCCTCCTGAATTTTTCTGCAGGCAGCCTGTAGTGGGTGGGGGTCTGCTGGGCCCCTCCCACAGCCCCCCTCTCTGCACAGGTTATGTGCATCACAGTGATGCCTGTACTGTTATTCTTATACAGAGATAACTGAGGAATATATTTAAATGAATATGTTTGAGCCCTGAGTTCAGATTTACAAAGGTCACAGAATGTAAAACCGTATCTGCTGCCTAGAACCACTGGATAGTGATTGTAGTTTAGCAAATGAACCTTCATAAATCATATACATGAAATTGAAATGCTTTGCAAGCATATCATCACCCTGACACTCTACCAGAATTCTACCCATGTATATGATATTTTAATTATCTGTACGATAAAATATAATTTTTATTTGTGGTTCACACGACATTCCAGGAGCTTTATTTAAAATGCTGCGTAGGAGCAGAGTAATGATGCAGTTACACCACAGGGTGCTCAGGGGACTACATGTCTCTT